TGTTGGCTGTAGATCTAAATAAAATGGAATTATTGGTAACTTCAAATTTTTCTCCATTTATAATGATGTTTCTTATCTATCCAGATGTAAGAATTCTTATTTTCTTAATGTTGAGGTATAATCCACACTGTAAGCTAGGATTTATAGCTAGTTCACTAAATGCTTCAAATGCTCTTCACTTCCTTTAAGTAAGGTTGTATCATCTACAGAAAAGATTGGTAATGTCTCTTTCTTCAATCTAGATGCCACATTATTTTTCATATAGTCCAACATTTCAGGTTATTTACTCAACATACTTGTTGAATGTTGTTAATGCTGTGTTCCATTGAGTTGGTATTGACTTGTACCTGACACTCCAGCAAGTTTTCAGTGGCAGTAAATTGCATGGGAGATGATTGTCCATCTTTTTCCCATGAAGCATCTGATGGATTTGAACCTTTGGCTTTTGGGTTAACAGCACAACTCTTTCCCATAAAGCCGTTAGAGCTCCACATTTTGATTAGGTATTGGGAAAGATCCAATCCTAAAATGGACATTTTCTGATTTTAAACCATGCAATATCCCCTTAAGTCTGTTTGAAAGACTACTTTTGATCTATGTACAAATTTTCCACAGAAACAATCAAGTGTTCTCAGATTCCTATTTCCATCAGTGCTGTGCATAATTTATAATTATTTACAAAGCATAATGCCTTTTCACAGTTAGTAAAACATGAGTAAATATCTTTCTGATATTTTTTGCATTTAGCCAAGATTCATCTGACATCATCGATGCTATCCCTTGTTCCACAGCCTCTTCTGAATCCAGCTTAAATTTTTGTTTCTCATAATTCCCTGTTGATATACCATACCACCATTCTAATAATTTTTTAATCATCCTCTGCAATATTTTACTTACATATGCTATTAACAATATTGTTTGATAATTTCCACACTCTGTTGGATCTTTTTTTTTATCTTTTTTTTTTGTAATGAATTCAAATATAGATCTCTTCTAGCTAGTTGATTGGGTGACTACATTCCTGATTTCCTGACACAGACTTAAAGCATGTCCAGGGTTACATCTATTTGCTGAAACACTTCAACTGATATTCTGTCAATACCTGGAGCTTTACTTTCTCCCCATGCCCACATATGTCTTCGGTGCATGTTGGATTTCTCTCTTCAGTACCATTGGTTCTTGATCATATGCTCATTCCTAAAAAATAGTTCAATGTAGATCAAATCTTTTTGTTACAATGACTCTGTGAATTCTCTCCATATACTTTTGATGTTTCCTTCATTATGCACTATGCTGCCTATATTGTTGTTGTTATGTGCCATCAAGTCCCTGCAACTCATAGTGACCCTTTGCACAACAGTTCTGAAACCTGCTCAATTACCCCATTTAATGAGTCAATCCATCTCATCAGAGAGTCTTCCTCTCTTGAGTTGTCCCTCCACCTTCCCAAGCATGATGTCCCTTTCCAAGATACAGTCCTTCCTCATAGCAGGCCCAAAGTGTGTCAGAGGAGATTCAGAATCGTTGCCTGCAGAAGCAGATTGGCTTCATCCTCTCCAGGACAAACCTGTTTGTTCTCCTAGAAATACACAATATATTGAATACTCTTCCCCATCCCAGAATTCAGTATGTCAACCTGAAGCTTCAACATTCCTTCTATTTGCTCAGCTTAAGAAATACCAACCAAACAAAACAACTATGAGATATCATCATACCCTAGTAAGAATGGCAAAATTCAACAGAGCAGGAAACAGCAAATGCTGGTGAGGTAGTGGAGAAACTGGAACCCTTATTCACTGTTGATGGAAGTATAAAATGGTGCAACCACTATGGAAGGCAGTATGGCACTTTCTCAAAAAGTTGCAAATAGAAACACCATATGACTCAGCAATTCCACTACTGGGAATATACCCTAAAGAAACCAGAACTGCCACTTAAGCATATATCCATACCCATTTTTTTTTATTGTGGCTTTTTTCACTATAGAAAAGAGTTGGAAACAAGCCAAGAGCCCATCAACAAACGAATGGATAGAGAAGCTTTGGTATATTCACACAATGGGATACTATGCAGCATTGAAAAATAAGAAACTCATGAAATGTTATACAAAATTAATGCCCCTGGAGTGCATTATACTGAGTGAAATATCTCAGTCACAAAAGGACAAATACTGCATAGTGCCACTGTTGTAAAATGGGACTGACATCAGGGTTGGGGGGAACCTAAAAAAAGAGGGAATAATGTATACTGCTGATGCTAGATGGATCTTGGCTGAAAGCAAGGAATACCAGAAGAATGTCTATCTGTGTTTCATTGATTATGCAAAGGCATTTGACTGTGTGGATCATAACAAACTGTGGCT